GGGAGACAAATCCGTTGAGTTCATTCACATCTGAAAATGTCTGTCAATGTTCTGCCTTTATGCTAGGTTACTAGTTTGGTTGGACACTGCAGTTGATATTAACACTGTAGTTGATAAGATTTATTTCCATAAAATTCTGAAAGCACTGCTCCACTATCTTCTAGCATCCAGAATTATAATTTCGATTCTTGAGGTTTTATAATTGGTTATCTTTTTTCTGTCAACAGTATTTAGGACCTGAAAAACAGTTTATATGAAATTTCTTGATAACATACCTTGGTGTAAATTAATTTTTTTCATTGTTTTGGACATGGGACATTTTCAATATTGATATTTGTGACTTCAGGTAAGGGAAATTTTTTGTTATTTCTCTGATTTTGTTGCAAATTTATAATTTTATATAATTTTAAAGATTAACTTTTGTAGTTCCCAAATATCTTTTTAAAAATTTTATTAGGGTCATATTAAAATTTTAATTTAAAGGCATTTGACTTTCATATTATATTGGACCTTCCTACCTACAAGCAGGGTTATATCTTTCTATTATTTGAAGGTTTCTTTTTAAAAAAATGTACTACAATAGTCTGCAGAAGAAAACGAAGAATTCTTTTCTTTTTTTTTTTGAGACAGGGTCTTGCTATGTAATGCAGGCTGGACTTGAATTCACTGTGTAGCCCAGGCTGGCCTGGAACCTACAGTGATCCTCCTGCCTCAACCTCCTGAGTGCTGGGATTACAGGCATGTGCCACCATGGCAGGTGAAGATTTCTTATTTATTCTTAGTTGCTTTTTTTCTTTCACTGCTATTATATGAGATCTTTTTCCTTCACTGTGTTATCTACCTGCTGTTTTATATACTGAAATGCTATTAATTGTATATTGATATTGCACACAGCCATCTTATTGTTACTAATAATTTTCAATAGATTCTTTTTGCATTTTAAAGTATGCAATCCTATTATCTGAGTAATAATAAAGGTAATAAAAATTTGCCTTCCTTCCTCCAGTGAATGAGTTCATCATTTCCTCCACAACACATTTTCAGTGTTTTGATGCTAGCGTATAGAAAATGATAGCCTTTCTTTCTTTTTTTTTTTTGTATTTCCAAGCTTTTATTTTACTTAATCTTTATGACTTAAAATTTATCAATTATGACACTATAGCTTGTTCAAAGATTTTTCTGGAAATATCCCACTCATACTTGAGAGGCCTGAAAAGCAAACCTCTAAACTATTAAGATAACACTGGGTTTAATGTAAAACAGCACAGTTAAATAAAATTTTTGAGAAATCAGGAAAAATGACAATGATGGTATCCTATGGGAAAGTAAAATTCACGCTAAAATAGAACTGATTACCCAAAAATGTAAATAATGATCATTTTTGAGTCTAACAGTGGGAAGTACCTGAACTTTTCAGGCTATGTTAAAAAAAAAGATGGCTCCACACACAAAATGTACTTTTTCTTTCAAGGTACTACTCCACTTCAAAAATTATGAGCAATGGGGGCAGACACATAGTAGGGAGATTTCATTGCAGCAGTGGGAGTTGGCTCACAATTATTCTCTCATTTCTGATTCTGTCCTTGAATTTCTGATTCCCCAGAAAGGAAATCACCTTAAGGAAAACTCTGTAACCTACACAGTAAATCTGACTACAAATGAACGCTATGTAGAGTTTAGCTCTGGGTCAGTTAACTGAAGAATGAGCAATACTTGTGTTGTCTTCTATTGTATGTTCATATATAAGTTAAAAAAACACTACACTAGACCTACTACAAAACAAGAACCCACTTAAAATTCTAATCTATATTCTTTTTGGCACGAGCCAAACATATGCTCAGAAAGTTTTCAAGTTTTTTCAAAGTAAACTACAGAGGAAACTCCAAAGACACCTTATCTTAACAAATGCATATCACAAACTAACACTGTAGGTGTTACACAAGACAGGTCTTTAAGTGACAGCAGCCTGCTCTTTCTTTCTTTTTTCTTTTCTTTTCTTTCTTTTTCTTTCTTTCTTTCCTCTTTGTATATTTCTTTATTTTCTGTATATTGTCAATAACATTTAACACACAAATATATCCTTCTTGTACACAACTTACTGAATTCTCTAATTTTTAATGTTTTTTGATTTTCAAGTATAAATCATTTCACCTGAAGTAATATATTGTTTTTGCCCTGTCTCTCAGGTTTAATTACCCTGCCCCCAGTAAGGTGTTACATCTTGTCCACGCGATTCAAAACATTAAAACCAGAGAGACCAGGGGTATTTGTGTCCGTCTTGATTTATAAGAAGGCTTCTTGTGCTTCACACCGGGTAAGACTCGCTGTTTACTGAGAATTTAGTTCTGTTTTAGAAATCAGTAATGTCGCATTTTATCAAATGACTGGTTGTCTGAAGGCCTATAAGCCACTGTCCATATGTATCGCTCTTTTAATGCATTTCTAAAATTAATCTGCTGATACTTCGTTTACAGATTTTGCATGAGAGAACCCTGGCGGTAGGTTCGTTCGTGGGGAAGAATGAATGTAAGGAACAATGGAGGCCCGGGACTACTTCTTTCCCTAGTAGGCGGAGAGGATCATTGCTTCTTCTGAAACTGGACAACACTAGAAGTTTAAACAGCTGGTTTTTAACTTTGTTTCTAAAACGCTCGCTATCCGACTAGGCAGCCACTAGATGGCGCAAGCAAACTGCTAGACAGAGAAAGACTAACGGGTGGCCGTCGGGGAAGGTAATTTTAGCGTCGATCGTTCTTGGCTTTTCATTGGCTGGTTCTGAAGAAGGCCCGCCTTTCCTATCTCCTCATTGGCTATCCGCGCTGCGGGGTGCGCTCCCTGGTCAGTCCCTCTAGGGAGCGCGAACTGGGGACACCCGGGCTTCTGGGTTTCCTGAGCCGACTTCTGCGTACGCTGGTAGTGGTCCCAGGGGCGTCTCCACCGCAGAAACGGGGCTGGACGAAGTTCACGATTTTCCAGGGAAACAGCTAGTTTTGCAGTGAGTTTGGGGATCAGCACACTCCCACTACAGAAAACGGCGGAAACTGTGTCTTTCCGTGGGCTCGAGAGAGGATACTTGCACACCCGACCGTGGGCCAGCCGGGAGGCTGCGGGGGCGTCCTGGGCCGGGAGCGAGAGGGCCATGTGGGACGCCCCCCACCCCCAGCGGGAGTCAGCCCAGCCAGGATCTCAGCTGCAGGGCCGGGCCTTCCAGGGCCTCTTAGTGACGGAAACCTAACCTTCACTCAGAGCCTCGCTGTGCTTCTGGATGGGCCAGGATATGGCCATGACACGGGAAGGCAGAGCTTGTTGCTGGGCTCTCGTGCTCTGACCAAAACCCTTACTCTGAGGTTGGAATGGGGCTACGATCCACTTTCCAGTTAGACCACTGGCTGGGTTCTGTAGTCAGGCACAGCTGCTTGGCTGAGCACCGCGATCACCTCAGCCAGGACGGGAACACCTAGTGCATTCCGGGCCCAAATCCATTCCTTGAGTTCTGCAGTTGGCCCGGGTTGCAGAATGCGTCCCAAGGTTAGGCCAAGTTTTGCTCAAGATGATTGGGACCAGCTGCTGTACTAGAATGGGGATTGTCTCTCTGCCTGAGTAGAAGCTCAGAGTGGGCTTTCAGGCTCTGAGGCTGAACTGAGCCACTGTGTGAACTTCTGGGCGGTGTAAGTCTGGCCCTGCACTTCGCTAAAAGGTTGTGTGGTAGGCGTCTCCCTCCCTGAGTGGTTTCTTGGGGGTGGGCTTTGAGGCTAAACTGAGCCACTGTTTGAATGCCCAAGTGGTACAAATCTAGCCCCTGTGACTTGCCAGGAGGTGCTGTGATGTCTTGTTCCCTGGACAAGGTCTGAGGATCAGCTTTGAGACAGAGCTGAGCCGCTGTTTGAATGCCCACTTGGCACAAGTCTTAACTTCCACACTTTGCTGAAATGCTTCGAGGGGCCCTCGTGGGGTAGGGGTGGGGCTGGAATGGGGTCTGAGGCTGGCCACAGAGGCTGTGTAGGGACTTATACCAGACTGAAATTTGTACCATGTCTGTGGGGCCACCTGTTCGGCTTTGCGGGTGGGTTGTAGTACTGGTACCTCATACTGGGCACCTCCACTAGCCGTAACAGAGCAGCCGCCAGAATCTGAGCACTGGCTGAGCACAGTGCCTGCTATCCGTTTTTGTCCGACCCCAGGTAGTGTAGCTATGTCATTATTCCAGTGTTTCCCCATGAAGTGAGATCCAAGTGAGCTTCCTGAGAGGCATTTTGCAAGGCTAGGGAAATTGGATGTCCGTCTTTAATTCTCTTTTCTTCTATATATAATTGTAAGTCTGGGGAAATCCTCTCTTGATGCCATTGTACCAACTTGATGGAGGATGATGGATGATTTTCTTAAGGTAAAACTATTTCTCTTACTCTTCTAATGAAGTTTTTTTTTTTTATTATTAGATACTGTGGTCCATGTAGGTGTCTGAGGCATTTTTCTGAGTTTTGAGTGTTTATTTATTGAACTAAGGGGTGCTCTTGCCTGGGGACAGCTTCTAGGTGAACTTCTGTATTTTGGGGTTGGACGGTACGTGGGTGGGGGAACACTGAGACCTCTATTTCACTGTTATGGGTGTCACTTCTAACATTATTTTTAAAAGTATAAGTTCTGTTTCTTTCTATTTCTCCTCTTATTCTGAAACTTCCATGCTCTATATGTGGGTATCCTGTAAGTCCCATAGATATTCTTTACTCTTTTTCATTTTATTTTTCCAACAGGATAATTTAAAATAATCTATTTTTGAGGAGCTGATTTTATTTTCTGCTTGATCTAGTCTGATCTTGGAGCTCTTTATCGATTTATTTCACTTCAGTTATTATATTGTGTGACTCCTGATTACTGTGTAGTTCCTTTTTACCATGTTTGTTGAACTTACCATATGTTTGTTGCACATGAAAAATGCATTTTCTTCATGCATTTGTTTCCTGATCTTGTGTAGTTATATATCTGTGTTCTTGTGTAGCTCACTGAACCTCTCTGAGATGAGATTCTGGGTGGGCCAGTTGGCGGAGTTTACAGGTGAGGAGGCCTGATGTAAAGGGGATATGCAGGCCGGCCAGCTGCTGAGGACAAGGGGACACGACACCTATTCTTGGGACTGGGGGCTGCTGTTGAAGTTACTTGTTGACAATCCACTGATTATCAGAAGAGGCTGATAATCCTCTCAACTTACCAGGCAAGTTGAAAAGTTTGATACTGCAAAATTCTAGTATTAGTATTAGTATGAGCTTATTACCACAGCTAGTGAGATCTGGGGACACTGGCTACACTTACATATCCTTTCACCCACCACAGATATATGCACTTATTCTCAGCTGAAGCTATGTCCTAATCACTGGTGCATAACCCATAGGATAATGACTTACATATGGTGAAGAATATTCTCAGTCTCCACTTCATTGCTCCTTTTCCAAATTGCTGTCATGTTTTCCTTTGAAAGGGTTTCCTTAGGAGTCTCCCCAGAGCCCCATGCATGTCTTTGTTCCTCAGACTGTAGATAAAAGGGTTCATCATGGGAGTCACCACGGCATACATCACTGTGGCTACCGAATCCTTGAGGGAGTATGTATGGAGGGGCTGCAGATATACCATACAAAGTGTACCATAGAACAGGGAAACCACGGCCAAATGTGAAGCACAGGTAGAGAAAGCTTTGTACTTGTTAGAGGCTGAGGGTATTCTGAGAATGGCTCTGACAATACAGACATAGGATGAGATCATGAACCCAAAAGGAGTGAGGAAGATGAGGCAGCCTGTGGCAATCAGCACTGTGTGATTGATTTGAGTGTCGGAACATGCAAGCCTGAGCAGGACGTACATCTCACAGAAGATGTAGTGGATCTTGTGAGACCCACAGAATGTCACTCTGGTCATGAGGGCAGTGTGAATGAGACCATAGAAGACAGACAGGGCCCAACACAAGGTCAGGAGCAAGACACAGAGCTTAGGGCTCATGGCTGTCGTGTAGTGGAGCGGGCGGCAGATGGCCACATAGCGGTCGTATGCCATCACAGCCAGGATGAGATTGTCCAGGGCCACCAAGGAGACCAGAAAGTAGAGCTGGGTCAGGCACCCTGCGTAGGAGATGGCTTTGTTCTGGGACTGAAGGTTCACCAGCATCTTGGGGATTGTGTTGGTCACAAAGAAGAGGTCAGTGAAGGAGAGATTGGCCAGGAAGAAGTACATGGGTGTGTGCAGGCGAGAGTCAGAGCCGATGGCCAGGATGATGAGCACATTTCCCATCACTGTGACCAGGTACATGGACAAGAACGTCCAAAACAGGATCTCTTGCTGCTCAGGAACCTCTGAGAGGCCTATGAGTAGAAATTCGGAGTCCTCACTCTGGTTGCCTCCATCCATTTCTGCAATGTGAGCACCAAAAGTTCTCTAGAGTGCTCTCAACTGGACAAGGACATGAAGGTAAGCAAGATCATCTGTTTTCTTTGCATTAAAATTATCTTAGAGCTGGGCTCTGTGGCATGAGCCTGTAGTTCTAGCTGCTCAGGAGGCTAAGGAAGGATGATAGCTTGAACCCAGGAGTTCAAGGACAGTCTGTGCAGCAGAGCAAGACTATGCCCCCAAATGTCTGAGACCAAATTTTATAATTTTCAGAAAACATAAGCAACAAATTAATAATAGGCACAAAAATGGAACTTGGAAAGTCTTTATGCAGTGTAATCATTCCAGCAACTTCTAATCTAGCAACTCAATGTTACAGGAATAATGTCTAAGTCTTATTTTGAATTCTATTTGCTTACCATACTTTTTTTTTTTTATTTTTTGTCTTTTTGAGACTGGGTTTCACTATGCAGTTAAGGCTGGCCTTGAGTTCACTTTGTACCCCAGGCTGGTCTCGAACTTGCAACGATCCTCCTGCCTCAGCCTCCCGAGTGCTGGGATTACAGGAGTGAACCACCACACGAAACTGCTTACAATACTCTTTAACTATTTCACAGTTTATGTGGTGTGCTATGATATTGTACAGGTTTTTAAAATTGTATTTTATTTAAGTCTATGCATTATAGGAAACGAATATAGTACACTTCACAAATTAATGGGGGTAACAAAAATATTTGAAAGGAATAAGAAAATTATTTGTTGATATTATGATTTATCTGGGAAAAGCAGGACAGTCCACTGAAAGATTGGTAGAGATAACAGTGGGTTTCAGAGTACTTAAAATTCCTATTATGGGTTCTGGGTTCTGCTTCTTGCTAGTGGTGAAAATTGAGGCAGGGTCTCGGGGGTCTTTAAGACCTGTTTTTTTCATGGAAAATTGGCTCATGGCTAGATACAAATAAATAATAAAATGCTTAATACAAGGAGCTGGCATGCAGTCAGCACATATAACCCATTATTTTTATATATAACAATAATCAGTAAAATAAACCCAAGTATAATGCAAATGATCTCTGTTATGCTACTAACGAACAAATATGCATTAAAGTGTTAACACAAGCCAGGCAAGACCTTCAAATTCTTCAGTGAGGTGAAAGTAAAAATTCAGTAAACGAACAGATCAGATTTCAGATAAAAAGATGAACCATTGCAAAGGCGTACATCCTCCTGGATTAATCTACAGTGAAACCTATTTGGTGTCAAAATAGTAATGGGGTTTTTAGGAAGCAAAATTAAATTTTATTTAAAACGAGGCTGGAAATAAGGAAGGGCAATATTGAAAAAGAACAGTAAGGTGACTGTTGTGGTGAATACATTGTGTCAACTTGTGGAGTCTAGAGGTTTGGCTAAGTGACTCAGCAGTTCTGCCTCTTGGGGTGAAGGACATGCCCTTACCCTTCTGGGATGTTGTTCATTGTGTCAGTTTGAGAAGTTTAGAAGGTTAACTGTGTGATTCAGCAGAGAGCCAGGGTGCTCACTTCATATTCATCCTGAGCCTGTGCAAGAGGAGGGCATGGAGGTTATGTGAATCCTACACGTCCCCTGGGTGGGGGTAGCCTGCTTACAATATAAGGGAGGGAAACAGGCTGCTCTTCTCTGCCATTCCTTCCTTTTGCTCTTGTTGCTTTGGCTCCCTTCTGCCACCATGAACTGTTGGCCTCTGCCTTAGAGCCACTTTGCCTTAGAGCCAGCCAAGTATGGACTGAAACCTCCAGAAACTGTAAGCTGAATAAACCTTTCCTTCCTTAATTCTGGGCATCAGGTATTTTATCTCAGCAATGAGAGAAAAGTAACCAAGACAGTGACATTTTGTTCTATCAAATGTCAAGGGCTCTAGAATAGTGTTCTACTGATCCTGGAGTGAACAGATTGGTAGAACTGCATAGAAAGTTCATGGACTGACACCAAAACATGTAATAAGTCATTATGGTAGCACTATATATTTGCAGATAAAGTTTGCATTGTTTAGGAAATAGCATTTTGACAGCTGTGTAATTATTTTGGGGAAACAAATCAGTATTTTGTATCTTACTCGACACATTTCAAAATATTAAGATTAAAATAACATATTGGACTCTTTTGGCTTTGAAAAGGTGTATACAGAGTAAACTTTTTTAAAATTTACAAAAGAAGAAACACATAAATTATATAGAATTACACTATTTGAATATAGGTTACTATTATTCCTCTTTTGATGTTTTTTTGATTTTAAAATTTGAAAAAATCTGGTTCTGTGGAGTCCTGATCAAAGAGCACTTGATGGCAGTGGTCCTGAGTGGGAACGATCTTGTTATTTTTAAGAAACTCAATATGGTCAAGTAACCAAAATGGTTAGAATGAAGAGGAGATGGGTGAGATATGCCAGGAATGGGACAGGTCATGTAGAGTCTTGTTAAGATTAAAAATTTTCTATCATATTTCTTCATGGTAGCCACCCTCTGCTGTCTGGTGTATTTTTAATTTTCTTCTCCTTTTTCCTACTTTTACTTGGGCTACACTCACTCTGTAGAGCCTGCTTTTCTCCCTTTTTGATAAATATAAAACTTTGCCACCGTTAAAAAAAGATTTAAAATCTTTCTCTGTCTCTCTTTTTCTCTTTCTTTCTTTCTTTCTTTCTTTCTTTCTTTCTTTCTTTCTTTCTTTCTTTCTTTCTTTCTTTCTTCCTTCCTTCCTTCCTTCCTTCCTTCCTTCCTTCCTTCCTTCCTTCCAGTATTGGGGATTGGTGTCTTCACACTGTGATACATCCCCAATGTCTTCCCACCCCACTTTTAAATTGTTTTTTAAGACAGGTTCTTACTAAGTTGTTAAGTTGCCCAAGTTGGGCTCAAATTTATGATCCTCTTGCTTCAGCCTCCCAGAACTGGTACAGCCTACCATGCCCAGCTTAAAATTTTGTTCTAAGTGCAGTGAAGAGTCTGAAAGGATTTTTAGCAGAAGAGTGTGTGTATATTTAGCATTTGTCTTCCTATTTATAGTTCTAAATAGTATTGTAATAAGTAGGTATGACCGTTTCATGCTTTACTGAATGCTTCTTCAGTGCCTGTTCATGCTAATGGCTTGCTGAATGTTGAACCACACTTTCATTCCAGCATGGAATATTGAAATTGACTAGCTATTATTTTATTTAAGCTTTTGTGGTCATATTTGTAAATTAAGTTGTTCTACAGTTTCTTTTTTGGATGCCATTTTCATAGCCATCTGGTATGATTTGGCATGCATTATCTTCCACCTTAAACTAGAATGTACTTACTGTCAATTTTAACATTTAAGAGTTACATGGAATTTGTTTTCTAAAACTAATTTTTTAAACTGCATTGCAATCTATGGGTTGTAAATAAAAGAACTTTAGTGTGAATAACTCCAGGAAGACAGAAAAGTGTAAATCGAGAATAAAAATCAACCTAAATTCTCCCAAACAAACACTCTTGACATTTTAGTGATAGACTTGCAGTTTTTTTATTCAGTCACCTTTATTCACTCAATGATGTGACGTGACAACCTTCTCCAAGTCAATATTGAAGTTTATTTCTAATTTCTTCTCATTGAGCCATCTTATTTTTCTGTCTGCATAATTTTTCTTTATTCTTAAGATTTAAAAATTATTTATTTATATTTCACCTTGCTTTATCTGATGCAGTGTCTTTTCTAATCTAAAAATTGTATATTCTTTCATTTTAGGATAATTTTCATTTATTCCTTATTGCACAGGATTCATATTGTAACTACAGTGGTTTTATAATTAGCATTTCATTTTGGTTAATGTACTCTGTCGTACAGAATCATAATAAATGCCAACTGCCTCTTTGGAAGTGAAAAGATAGATTAAAACAGTTATTTGAATGGACTCAATAATCTGAAATAAAGATATTATTCCAAGCAATCAGGTGAATGATTGCCTTTTGCAAAAGTTTTTCTTTATGAAAAAAGGGAAAAAATTTAAATATGTGTAATATTAGTGGCAGGGGTTATTGCACCTGTCAAAAGAATTGCTCCACTATCAAGAAATCTTGCATTTGGGTGAACAATAGGATCACTGAATATGAAAATATAAAGGAATATACACTTGATTTCTGGTTTTCAGATGTAACGAGCTCAAGTGACCTACTCTTTAATGCAACTGGTGAGAAGTGTTAAGAAAAGATTATTTAAAGCACCTGGAAGCAAAGAACAAATGGACATGGATTTAAGTAAAGATATGAGAAATGGGTAAGAAGGTGAGAGTCTGTGGAGTTTGGATTGAGATGCTTCCTTCCCATCCCAATTTAGGGACGAAGAGATTCTTCCCCAGACTGCTGCAACATAGAACACACAGATCCCTCTCCCTGGGGTTATAGCAGGAAGGATTTCATTCTAAGAGAAACAGGACTTTAGCATTTCTCATCTTGTCCTCAGCAGCCAATTGCTCCTCATGTATAGTCAAGGACAGGAAGACTTCTGATCCCGCCACTGTGGAATGGAGGCTCTAGTTTGATGTGTAAAGCTGATGACACAGAGGCTTGATTGCCCTTGATCAGGTTTAAAAGCTCATGGTACCACTGTATGAAAGGGAAGCTGAGAGGATCAGGCTACTGCTCTCTTCTACCAAATGCTTAGTCCCAAGGAGGGCACTGCTAAGAGAGAAGAGTGCTCATTTCACCATGCCACACTCTAGAGACTTAACTGCTGAGATTTTGCCTGGGAGAAGAATCAGTACTAAGATAGGTAGTCCTTAATTTTTTTTCCAAAAGAAGTGACTTTGTTTGCAACCAAGCAAGGAGACATTCAAGAAAGACCATGTCACAAGATTATTAAATCAGTTTAAAAAAGGGATAGGGATATTGCTCAGTGGCAGGGACTGGGTTCAATCCTCAGTACTGAAAAGAAAAAAGTTCAAAGGAAGAATGGCTGAAAAATTTTCAAGTTTATGGGAAAACAGTACCCTCTCCAAGAAGGTAAAAAAATCTCTCAAGTAGAATAAACCAAAGGTATCAACTCATAGGAGGTGTAGTGGATGGAAATTTTGAGTCAGAAGTTTGTGTCCAGTTTATCACATATGATTGTTAAGTGAACAAACAAATTGATAGCCTTTGGCGAGACAATGTGTTGAGTGATTTAATATATATATATATATAAAATATATATTATATATATAAAATCACTATATATTGAGTGATCATATATATTGGGTGATTTATATATTGAGGGATCATATATATATGATCCCTCAATATATAAAATGTAGTCTTCAACAAAATAATTTGTTTTTTTATCTCATTTTCTAGATGAGGTGACTGAGACTTAAAAGTTTGAGTTCCTCAAATTTGTTCAACTAGTAACTGATGGAGTTGAGGCTTGGCATTCTTCCCACTTCTCCATATTTCACACCCTAACTACCATGCCACACTTTAAATAAGAATAGTAGTGCTAACACCCAGAGTTTGGGAGAAAGAGCTAATTGTGTGGAAATACTTCTCCCATCTTACAGCTTTATTGTAAAACTGAGAGGCTGTTATGGTAATGGCTAAGGGAATCTACCCGACAACAAGTCCCCAAACTTCTGATACTTTTCACCTGTTTCCAGTAGGAAACCATGCTGTCAGGGTGAAGAGAAACAAGGTCCCACTCTTCCCCGCAGCCTGGGCTTGCACAAGCCTCCTCCTCAAACAGGAGCAGTCTGTGCTCACCCGGTGACTGCAGAGAAGAGCCCAGGACGTTGAGGTGGCTGATGCATTGTGTCAGGTCCTGAAGTGCAACTGTTTGGGAGAGAAAAGAGTGAGGGAACAAATTATCATGGGCTTCTCATTTAAAGGGATTGTCCAGTTCAGGAACTAGGGAATAAAAGAGAGCGAGAAAGATACACTAGACTATCACCTGGAGGACTTAAGTTCTGTGCCAGCAAAGGGGGCTGAGGAGGAAATGAATCCTTATCACGGAAGTGATTCAAACAAGTCACCAGAGCTGAGTGATTGTTCAGAGCTGATTCAAGCCATTACTGGAAGTAGGTGATAGTGAGAGTCTGTTTATGCAATAAAGTGTCAGGCTGTGGAGGACTGATGTGGTGATCTTTTGGCACTTGAGTGGAAACTAGAGTGATCCTGTAGACTGTGTATATAGATTTTTGCCTCTGTTATTTGCTCTCTTGAGCTTCTACATTGTGAATGAGCTCACTTATTTCTCCCAATGCTTAAGTGAGGCTTTGAGCCGAGGATCTAAGGGTCCTTGCCACTTAGGGGGAGAAAAAGAATTGGAAAAGAAAAAATTAGGGTGTAGGTCAGCAAGTGCAAGACCCTGCTTTCAAACCCTAGGTCCACCAGTGGGAGGGGGAAATGATGCCAAAAGAGAGAGGAACAGGTGGACTCATCCCAGAGAGCACTCCAGACCCCATCAGCAGCCCAAGGATGGGATGGAGCCCAGTGTGGACTCCCTGCAGTAACCTCAGCTTTGGGTACTCTCTGCCATCACCTCTTTTTGCTGTCCTTAGACCCTATCAGAAACTACTTCCTTCCACAGCTTGGTCCATGGAGTTTAGGGCCCTCTGGGACATTTGCCTGACAGGAGGGAGGGTGGGGATCCCAATGAAAAGACTGAGTAAAGCCAGAGAACTCGCAGAGGAATCAGTGTCTCTGCCTTCTAACCCTCAGTGCAAGAGTCTCAGATACTTTTTTGTTGTCAGGATTACCTGTGACACTTAACTGATTTTCTTACCACTTTCCTTGAAGTACTGGTTCTATTCTGAGAACCAGATCCCTTTTTACCAAACACTCAATGATTCTGATTGCACACTTCAGGAAACACTGCCTTGAGTCTGTAGCAGTTGGTAAGCTCTGGTCTTCGTGTAGCCTGATGGCCGTAGGGACACAAACATCTCTATGGTGTGGCTTGGCTGTGTGGGGGCAACACAGAAAAGGGCTACAAACTTGCAGTAGAAAAGTAGGCTTTGGTGTTTCCTCTATTGTTTCCCAGGTATATGACTTTGAGGAGTGAGCACATCCTCCGTGAACTTTCTCAACTCAGCATGTACACTCGGATGCGGGTAGTGAAAATCACACCCATGAAATAGTACTTTGAAAATTGTGGGGCACTTAAAATATTGAGGGATTGTTCTACTGTCCTGAAATACTAAGAAGTTAGGTTGTACAGTGTGCATGAGTGAAAATGGAGACAGAGAAGATAAAGGAGAGGATAGAGAGAGATAACAAGCCTGAGATGTTCAGACCTTACCCAGTTCTCTGCGTGGCCCTCAGAATTCTCTGGTTCTGCTGCCTCCACTTTTCTGCTTTGTAGGATGAAAAGTCAGTCAGGATGTGAAGGACTTGTTGCTTGTCTTAATGGCTAAGGATGGGGAACAAGAGGCTTATTCCTAGGGTCTTTAGTGTTAAAAAAAGTAGACAGAATTTAAGGCTCTTATCCGACCTAAATGGCCTGAGGGAGCTGAGAACTGATGGTTGAATCCCCACTCATGAAGAAGGGGTTGAAAATGGACCACATCAGGCTTATTTATTAGTTTTGGAGGGACCATGGGGAGGCAGTCCCAAGACAGTTTCTTGAGATGAACATGGATAATTACTCCAGTATTAATATCTAGAGGCAATGATCTTGGGAAATGAATCTTGTTTACAGGAAATAAACCAAATCATTATTGTGCAGAAGTCCTAAAAGTTTTCTTAGGATTTAAGGGTAATCCAGAAATAAAGAAAATGTCACAGGTCCTGCAGCCTGGCGTTGAGTCACTAGCGAGGTCTGAGACAGACTAGCACTAAGTAAAAGCAGTCATGTTTGGAGGAAAATAATGTTTCCAAGACCTCAAACTGTTTCTCTTAATAATTTTAAAAACATAATAAGTAGCTTCACCCAAGGGTAAGTACAAGGATAAGTACACATACAAAAGTAAGATTTCAAAAGCAAGAACCAAAACATGATGGCATACAGGTGCTAGATAATATAATTATCACACATAGACTGATAAACAAAAACACTTATGTTTGAGGAAATAGAATGAACCCAAAAAACTAAGAAGGAATTTTCATACATTGAACAGTCCTGAGTACTTGTATGAGAAACAGATAGCTAGCACTCCAGAAGTTACTTTATATTTCCTTCTAGTCACTTTTCCTACATGGTTATTATGTGTTCTCCCCACATCTTTTTTTTCCAGTACAGGAAGATTGAACCCAAGGTCTCGTACATGCTAGGCAAGCACTCTACCACTGGGCTCTACCGCAGGCGAGTCTTTTGTCTTTTTGATAGTTGTTATTCTAATATGTGTGAGGTGGGATTTTAATGTAATGTATTTGTTCTTATCAGTAATATCTGATACATTCTCTGGGCTTTTAAAATTTTATGTTGTATGTGTTTGTATTATGTTTTGATATATAGTTTATATTATACAATATGCTTATATATTATATTTTGAAAGGTATATATTTATTCTTATCTATACTAGAAAAAAACCTCTAAAGCCAGCATATCACACTCATAATTTAATGAATATCATTGTTTATCTAAGTATAAAATTATGGGCCAATATGAAGTCAATTTAAATACCTATTACCTGTTTCAATAATCACTGACTTAGACTAAACTTGCTTGTTTTATGTACAGTCTTTTCCCCATCATTCTTCTTTTTAGATTTCTTTGAAGCAAATCTTTCACCAATTCACTGGCAAAAATTACTATGTGTACCTGTAAACTTAGAAACTTTTAACCCTCTAGGCCAATATCTTACTGTAAAACTTAACACTAATTTATTCATATAGTCAAATACCTAGTTATGTTTCAAAATAACAGTTACCTTAATAACTTATTGTAATTCATTGTTTAGGAGCCAGAAAAGCAAGGTCAAATCAAATCTACAAAATAAGAGAAGGAAAGGATTACTAAAAATCAGAATATATCTATCTATCATCTATCTATCTCTCTATAAAGTGGAGAATGAAAAAACAATACAAAAGATCAATGAAATAAAGTGTTGATTTTATGAAAAGGTAAATTTGACAAATCTTTAAGCAAGTTGACAAAGAAACAAGAGAAAAGACTAAAATAAAATCAGAGATGATAAAGGAAACATTGCAATTGGTACCACAGAAATACAAAGAATCATCTGTATGAGTATAGGAAGAACTATATGCCAACAAACTGGAAAACCTAGATAAAATTGGTACATTTTTGGACACATATATAACCTTCCAAAATTGAATGATGAAGACACAAAATAACTGAAAAGATCAATAATAAA